CTATTGGATAGATAAGAATATTAATGCGTTATAACTGCGTTGATTCTTACAGGTCTTCCCCGTCACGATATGGATTTGATTCTGCACCATCTCGCCTTTGGACGGTATATTGACTTTTGTTTCTCGCCTCTGGTAGCGATCCTTGAAGGCACGACGGAGGGCTCGGTTTATCTCCAGAGTAGATATCATCGTAGAAATGCGAGCAGTTTGGGGTAGTTTGTGGGTGATGAAGGAAAGGCGATTGTTTGATGAAGGTCCAACTACTGCCTTTGAGTCTTCACTGGGCGCATATCTGAAACTAGAATTAGAGAATCGAATAGATTTCGAAACAATCAAACGTACTCGGATTTCGTCGACCAGGAAAACCCAAAAATGAACCTTCGAACCGTCGATCAAACGCGAGACCCTGGCTGTCCGGTATCAGTTCCGTATACAGCGTCCCCGTCATCGACGACGAATTTATTCATGACTGAATGTATTTTGTACATGTTGAAGGCCTTCGTCGCATCGCGAGAACATTGGGAGGAAAGTGAGTACCCAGAGAGCGAGCCAACGATGGTGATGGGAAGGAGCAAGAAAGGAAATTAATTTCAAAATCAATCGTCCTGTCGATGCACATGACCAGTTTGTCCCCGCGACAAAATCGGTCACGCAATACGTCCCAGTATTGCAGAACCTCCGAAAAATGAGGGAAATAATATCAAGTACGCGTTGTTATTTTATATGCAAGCCTGATGTTTCCGCCAGGTCTTTTGTTGCATTCTTTATCCCAGGGAAATGTCACGCTATTTTCCCAATGAAGAATGAACATAAAGCAAGAGATACCTCGTCAATTGCTCGTCGATATCTGTGTCATCATCTGGCACTGGTAAATTCTATCGCAGGCTACCAATAAAATTGGCCGATCTGGCCTTGGCTCATATCGTCCCAGCCGGTTACTGGCAACTAAGATTCAAAACCACTACAACCAGGTCGCATTCTTCCGACATGAGTGGCGGCGTTCGGATCTCCAAGCGTTTCTTACAGTGTACTTCGTTCACTTTTAGAACACGGCGGGTTTCCTTCTTTGAGGGAGGTATCAGCTCTCCTACACAGCCGTGATATGCTGATATTGATCATCCGTTATCTAACTGTGACAATGGATGTGTACCACTGGTAACGAACAATGGATTTTTTGATTTATATTATATTCGGTTAACACTCGTGCCGGTCTTTCCTAATATTTCTTCGACCTTACTATTATGCCGTTTTAGCCACGTCATGAAAATGTTCGAGGAGACGTAAGCACTTTCAAGCTTGCGCCATAACGTATCATCTGGGAATATTCGTCGGAGTACACTTGGGGGGAGTTGGAAGCAGAATGATGACATGAAATGGGACAACGTGTGGTGAAACTGAAGTAAGTGATAAGGACCCTTTCGATTTACGAGGCCGTGTTTCCTACTCAGGAAGGACGCGTAAGTCCTTTATCCGCTGGCCCTGCTACTAGAAGACATGTGTAAGCGTCAGACCAGAGGGAGAAGAGTGCAAACGTGAGAACGCACAAGTGCTGAGACGATAGTCTCATTGGAGTTGCTCTAGGGCAGCGAATCAGAAGATATGCTCTAAAGAAAAACAAAAGACTCACATATTGCCAGAACTTTCTGGTTCCGACGAGAATTCTTATTCAAATCGCCCGTTGGTCCCAAAGTTCACATACACATTACAAGTAGGACTCAAGGGGTACGTTTCATCCGCTCGGAAATGGCGCGTAGAAAATACGGAGGTAGTAACCCAAGGGAAGCTGTTCGGTGTGCCTCTCGTAGGCTCTCAAAGTACATTTTCAGAAATATGATGGGACTACCAGTACACGGCAGGTCCCGAGTAGGAAAGATGGATCGAACGATAAAGCGCCCGAGAACAAGGCAAGTCGGGAATGGTTGTGTTCAAGGGTGAAGGCTAGAGAAAGGTCAGCACAGTGGAAAATTGGATGCCTATGACCATCCTCCCGAAAATAGACTACAAAGGAACGACCGATGTTTGTGGCGACAAAATTACAAATTCCAGATGGGATTTTCCGAGTTTGTTTCCGAGTATCACAATCGATCAAGCTGAAATATGATTTGTGGCGTTGACGGAAGAAACTGGACCATTTCGATGTCTTTCTTTCATAGTACAGACAAAGGTTTCCTCTTTAGATGAGCTAAATTAGTGCAGTGAAAGAAACTGCTGCAACAAGAAAGTCTATGTTTTATGTTACCTCCATCTGATTCGAAGAGATAGATGTCGACGATCTCTCAGATCTCATAAGTGGTCAGCACGACCTGTTGACTACAAACTCGCGCGTTCGGAGAGGCCGAATATTTCCACCCGCTAAATTAAAACAGAAATATCAGCATGGTAATAATGACACGAATACTCTACCGTCCATGAATTACTTCAATAATACCACATCTCCAGTAAGTGAAGAAAACATGCTACGAGGAGACAGGCCGACTTGTGATGGACTGACACAAAAGCGACAGTTGAATAATGGACACAAGAAGTAGAACCTTGAATTTACCTTTTTTTTCGCGAAATAAATTCTTTGAATACGGGAAAAGAGAGAAGTTAGGGAGGTAGCGTGAAGGACCATTACAGTCGCTGGACAATTCGGATATGCGGCCGAAAACTCCGACAGGCCACGGAAAAATGCGGTGCTGCAGCATCACTGAGTCCACGACCCTGCGATCGATTGATCTTTGTTCTCCACTGTTGGCATCTACAATAGGTCCCTTCGAAGTCCCGCCATCTAAACAAGTATTACAGCGATGTCTTGCCTACCTTGTTCCTTTGTCTTCGCTTTGATTTTCACCCCGCACTTAGAAGTTCTTTGTCGGGTTCTCTACTACTTCCAGCCTTTGTCGAAAATTTGATGATTCAGCCAGTGACTCGATGGGGTTCGAGCTGTCTGAGCCCAGACGACGTGCAATATCTTCGTATCTCTCGCAGCAGTCTTTGAGTCAAAAGAATCGCCCGTTTGGTCTTGAAGGATAGGCCTGAAAGAGTCGAGTTATCTCACGGACTGCCTCATGCCCGAAGGTGACTTACGTTATCCTTTATTCACTTGCTCTCAAGAAAGAAATCGACCGATGGGACGCTCGCTTAATATGAAGCGAAGAACAGAACCATGTGTCCCTCTTGCTTTGTCCCTCTCGATTAGTCCAGCAAAGGCTATGTTCAAACAATGTATGCCATCATGAATTTGCAACCTAACAAAAGATATTCCCTTTCGGAGATTCGACGGATTTCACGAAGGACAATTCGAGGACTCGTCTGTTTTATAAAGCTATCGCTCGTTGGTAAAACTGGGGTCTTCCGGCACACGTCTCTCTTCGATATCACTGGCGCTTACTTGTTCTTCCTTTCCGGACAGAAAACATGGCAGTGAGTGGATTATTTCTACCATGTATCTGTGTTCTTGTTTGTTAACTTATATTTTCCTTTCGTCGCAGCGCTTCACAACCAAACCTCGAAATTTTATCTGCGCGACATGCCAGAAGACATACATCTCAAAGGGGGGATTGCTTCGACATAGCAAGATTCATCTGACTGGAGAGGCGCGGGACAAAGAGTAAGTTGCTTATTCATCAGCATTCGTTATTCACATCTGAAGGCATGATCACCTAGAATGTTTCACTGTCCCCAGAACGACTGCAATTTCAAGACTCTGCAACGAAGCAACCTGGTGGTCCATGTCAATGTCGTACAGCAAGTCCTTTCCATCATCTAATTGACCATCACGCTGACCCCAATCCTATTTCTTAGCCTCCGTCTCCAGAATCTCGTCTGCCACGAATGCGAACCTGCATACCATACCGGGGACCCAGCCAATATGACTAGGCATAAAATTAGGAAACATGGGCAGAGCTCGACTGATAAGAAATGGTTGAAAACTAAAGAGAAAATCCGGCCAATCGACTTGATGTCGCCGTCTCCATCGTCCCCTACCCCTCCGCCATTCTCCCCGCCTGCGTCTCCTAGCCCCTCCGTTGAAACTGCACCAGAACTAAGGCACAATGACCTGGCCACATCGTCCTCCTCTTTGTTAAAGTACTACGTGCCTCCCAAGCCTTTTTTATGTCCGCCCTTGCCTCCGATCCTCGATCGCTTAAACACGTCAGTGCGACGCCCTGACGAATCATGCAGCTCCTCGGTGTCTCTTCCGTCTCTTGCGAGCCTCGTTCTTCCCCGCCCACGTCTCGAGAGCTCACCCGCTCCTCCCTTCATTCCTTTTCAACTCCATTTAAACATTCTTGACTCCGCGGTTGACCACAATCACTTCCGCCACGGCTCTGAGCCGTGTATTCCCGCACGCCCCCAAAGCCCAGCCATTCGTACAACGAAAGATGACAGACGCCGCTCGGAGCCGTGCCTTGGCGCCCTTCCCCCGCGTCATCCGAGTCATTCACCTTCACCCGAGCGCCCAGCCCCGCGATCTCTTCCGACCTTACCAGGAACCAGAGCGCGTTCAAGTTCGTCTTCCTGTGAATCTTCTACTGCCCCCTCTTTTCCCTCCCCTCTGTTCCAGCCCGGAAGCCCCGGCATATGAGCCCCAAGAATGGGACTTTCAGAACCAACAAATGATGATGGCGATATCAATGTTAGTAGCGTCTTTGACAGATATCGTATTTCCCCACTGTCAATAGCGAGTGTGGCTTACTCTTAGTACCCCTTGAGAGACATGGTTCTGCTCCACTGACAAGGATGCCATCTCTATTTTACCGTATTGACTTGCGTTGGCAGTTTCCTACCTGCCGTTCTTGCTGCATCCTCTACTGTTTACATGTCAAATCTATGAGGATCGTGCCAGTTAATTTCGTATGACGTTATATATGTAAATGTCCTACTAAAGAAGTAATTACCCCTCATAAATTCAATACGCTCTAGATGTTGAAAAGTCTGGGCAAAACTGCTTTGAATCCTGTAGATAGACGTTATAGTTCGATGCTCAAATTTTTAATTTGGAAGCACTGTACCGAGGCGCTATGGTGTAGTGGCAGCACTTGGGATTCTGATTATTCGTCTTCCCACAACCCAGGTTCGAACCCTGGTAGTGCCTTTCCTTTTTGAGGGGATGGAGTTAAGGGCCCAGGGCCCGGTAGTATTCAGATAACTCAAATGTCCTCTCTGGACAAAGCTACCTATTACGACGAAGGCTCATTTTTGAAATTCCCCACACTGTACCTTAACTTGAACGACGCGACGCAGTGCCGGAACTTTGAACAGCAGCATTCCATTTAAATAACACCAATTACTCTCAGACTGAAATAATCACCCGAAGGATAAGGAACTTTAAACTTTTGCGAGAAGCGTGACGTGTTACCGAGCAGGTACAGTACTTGATCTGTCTTAACACAACACTGAAAATAAGATAACACGATAACAATATCTAGTATTAATTCCATTGATGTCTCCGAATCCCGACGTTAAGGCGCTTCTATAAGACGTACTCCCGCTCGACATACCTTTGGTTCTCCAATCCTCCCAATATACTTAACAGCACGTCGCCCACAGCGTCAGGTGCTTCTTGAACGACCTTCTCTCGTCAGCCTCTTGTAAAGTGAGACTAGTGGCGAATACGTACCAAGTGTCCGGCTCCTGGTATTCTGGTAACGGAGGCGAACCTGCGTCCTCGAAGGAGGGATTCTTGCTTTTCCCGGGTGCTGACGACACTATTAGACTCCGTACAGTAAATACAAGCGAGACACGCACAACAAATCATTTCTCTCTCCGTAAACTAGGTGCACCGGCACCTTCTTCCTCAACTTGTCCAGCTCTGCGACCGGGTACACGGCGTTTATCTGGTTTATGAATGGCTGACTCTCATGCAGCAGGACTACACCTGAGGGACACCCCTTCCTTGTCCTCCTCGAAGCCGTGTTCCTAGTTGATTCAGCAGGCGTAAAACGACGACAGACTTTACCCACAACATATATATCCAAAATGCGCTTATCCCACATTCCCCACGGTGCGCGCTTCCCTAGATCTTTACGAACAGCATCCCTGCTTCCCCAGGTTTTCCGCCGGCGAGGGATGGCAACACAAGCGAGCTTGTAAGCCGGCGAGTCCGCCATGTCGATCATGGATCCCGGCCAGATGGCGGGTTCAATAAGTATCAAGGCCGAAAAAGGTGGAGTCCCGGATCGTCCGTAGAACGATGGTACTAACGCTCTGTGAAGGAGGCGTTAATTTACCGTGTTGGAAAGACACGTTTCTCTGGGACGCTCACGCAGAGGCAGCTCCTGCAGAATGCCCAACAAGTACGATTGGATGACGCGTCCCGTTCAGATGGATCTTGCACAGGTTCGCACATGCTTCAGCGAAATGATACGAACCTATTATTGTTAGTTTCCGCCCCATGTCCAGCGTTTCCAACTTACTGTAGGTGAACCCCGGTTCGTCGATGGCGTCTCTGTTAAGAGTAGCTGCCGCGCCATGCGTCTGCGAGTCGATGGCCCAGGCTTCGACGACGGGCCCACCAGTGGGCATACAGGCGTTCGATAATTGGCTCCCAGTGCTCTTTATCTGTTCTGTCTGATCAGCAGGAAAATGTGAGGGAGAAGATAAACGCACGGAATCCAGTCCCATGCGCGAAGATCAGGATGTAACCCTTCTTGGTGGCGGTAGACGGGCGGTACCGCTTGGCAGTCGCGACGAGTGGGGTTCCGGCACCATATGTGTCGATGATGAACTCAGTTACATTCATGATTGCGCGCGGGTCAAGGAAGGATGGCGCCACAGATGTTGGTTATATACCTGAAGTTCCCTTACATTCGGGGAGGATTGCGCCCGACTGTGGATTCCGAATCGCAGCGGCGACGAGGTTTTTGTTTCGTGCATCCGTGTTGTGGAAACAAGTGTTGGCAGTGTTGACAACGCTCATCGTAGTAGGTAGGTAATGGTGAATATATAAACCGCTCATATACCGCTGTAACAAGTAAATACTATACAAAGGCTAGGTCAGATCGAGGTTCAACTTCCCAAGACGGTGAAAAGCTTACGTTGTACTATGCGTTGGCGAATTTATTTTTAAAAACTCTTCAATAGCCCAAGCGACGATAAGGACGACGGCCGCCGTCATGACTAAAGAAAGAAAAAAGTCGGGCATCAGTTTCGAGTAAGTATACCCAGTAGGAAGATTGGATTCCCGCGGAGATGTCTCCAAATGGCACAACTAGTTTTTCATTGAGATTTGAGATTTTCTGTAGGATTACCTCCAGGGGGACATCGCCGAGTTGGTTGAAACTACTATCAGACCCCCATGGGCTATGGTATATGGGCCCATTAACCGCTGTTCTCCCAAGCGTCTCGAACTCAGAAGAGAAAAAGTTGCATGGTAATTCTATGAGAGCCGCTAGTCAGGCCGCCTCGGTCAACAAGTTGAACTTGTAGGGGTAAACCATACAATTCAGCGGCGGAGGCCAGAGCAGATATGTTCAATGGGAAGTGGTCGAAGCTGTGGAATCCGAACGTCGGAAAATGAGGTGCTTGTACCGAACTCAATCCCACCGAAAAGAGCTGTTGAACCAGGAGTAAGCTCAGAGATTCCCACCAAAGAACTCCGCTCTTACCAAACAATGCGATCTTACCACCCAGTTTGGCTGCTCCTGTCCTGTTTTCGGAATTAGGCTCGCCGCAGAGATAATTGTTAACAATCAAATCAAATTCCCATCTCCCCGGCTATGCATGCATACCACTACTACGATAAGTCCATGAAACGAATGTCATGTAGATACTTTAAGAGACACAAAATAAAAAAAGGAACCACACCAAAAAAACAAATTCCACAACCCACTCTCCTCTTCGGTCATTCTTCAAACCGAGAAGTTAAACTTCTGGTCCGCAGAGTCGTTGCAGCTGGACAACGTCAACTGAGCGCCGGGTTGGTTAGTGACACACAACCCGTTGGTGTTGGAAGTGATGCTGCATCCCGAGGCGACGACACCCGTCTTGCCGGAAATGCCCGTAGCACACGTCGAGCAGTCAACCATCCACTTCTGGTTCCTGTATATGTGATCAGTATGGAAATACGTTAAGAACCAAAAAAACGTACGCATTGCTACCTGACCAGTCAACATTGGCCATCGCCAGAGCTCCACCGTTGAGTTGGACGGCGAAGTTGTTGCTTTTCCACAGTCCTGTGAATATCTCATAAGCACGAGTTCGAAATAATAAAAATAAAGGACGCGTACTTGACGGTGTAGCTGACAACAGGGTTCCCGTTCTGCTGGAAGAAGAACTTGGAAGGCGAAGGTCCAGTAATGACGGGAGCGCCGACGGTGGGCTTGGCCGACCACGAGTTTGCACCACTCGGGGTCGTCAGAGTGAGAGCAGCACCCTCAAAGTTGGGATGACAGCCTGGGGTGACACCACGGGCGGCCAAGGGAGACGCGGTAGCGGCAGTGAAAAAGAGAGCGGAGATGAAGAAGAGGATTGAAGAAGACATTGAAAACAAAGTTAAAAAATAAGAGATGAAAATGATCAGTTTTCAAGAAGACGAAGAAGATCAAAAGGCTGCAAGTAGAAGTTGAAAGGTGATGAGATTTGAAGGTAAGTAGATGGCGGCTTTTATAGCGATTTCGCGACCAGCTGACGCGGTCGTGCCCCTCTGGGTAGTGAGCGCTGAATGGGAGGCTGTACTGGATCGGGGAAGCTATGAGCAAAGTAATGACAAAGTTTAGGTCCGATTGTATTCGCCAACGGATATGTTTTGCTTCAGCCGCGATCCAGGAGTCGAACGCGGCCGGGAGGAACTGTTCCCGCCGTCGTTTCAGATCGTTCGCGCGCCCCCGATGTAGGTAAGACCGTTGGCATAACAGACGTTCAGTGCTGTTAATAGACATTGAACCGCTCTATGTTCCTCCCTGAAGAGCTTCGTCAGCGGCAGTCTTCCAAAGAAATTCAGCGAAATGTAAGATGAAAGTTTCAGTAAAAAAATCGCCGTCATGTACTAGCAACGTAGCAGTATTTCTGGGTTCATTGCAAGAGCGCGGTTCTTCAGGATCAAAGAAGGGTACACGCTATCCTCAAAAGGGCACAGCCTGAAGTATGCTATGAACGCCCATCCCCAAAACAGGCGAAGGTAAAAGGAGAAACGTTCAATAAGAAAGGGCACTCTCGACGGGTACGCCGAAATATGCAGAACATTGGTCACGAATGGTTCAATACGCACAGGTTTATTTCCTTAATTGCGAAGCGCACGAAAAGTGTATGCAGCAATAGACATCGATGACTAGACCACCTGAAAAAAGTCAAACCGTAAGCAATGATCATTACATTCCAGAAGGTCAAAAGGAATAAGAGTCTCAGAGTCGAATACGAAAATATCGTCAAACCTAGCGGACTAGGTCGTACTCATTAAAATCAGTTTTTTTTGGGAATCATTGAATGGGAAGAAGGCGCAAGAGCCTGAGGGGGTAAGAGTCATTGTACTCACCATAATTGCCGTGCGGTAAAAGATCGAACTCGTGATGTTAGGCGGCGTATAGGGCGAAGCCCCACGTATGTAACGTCTGTGGAAACAGAGAGGTGAGAAACATAGCTACTAAACAGAGAGAGAAAATCTCAGAAAGAAAGCAAAGATATCGTCAAGCCCGGCAAGCCAGGTCAGGCTCATTAAATCAGATTTTGGTTTGGAATCATTGGGAACTGCAAACGAATTCGAATAATCACCATCTAAAGGTCTCGACCAACATCTCTAGAAAACAATTGGCCATGACGAATAGATAATTATCGCTGAGCACAGCGTTTGAAAGGCAAGGCAATGATAAGGCGGTGAGTGAGGAAAAGAGGACGCCTCGGATATACCCGAGACAGATTTTTTTTTATCTCCGAAAGGCCGCTGGCGGCCCGTTGAGGCAATACGGACCGTCGGACCGTTCCCAAACTACAAATGGCAAAATCGAGGTACTATTAAATCCCAAGTCCATGCTCGCTCTGAGAATTTCGGTTGGAGAGCAGAAAAAAAGGGCTATGGGTGTCACATGCTGAAAAATAAGCTGGAACTCTCCTGGAATAATTATTCGCAGAACATGTGTCAGGCTTTTCACCGTAAAGACT